GGTCCTTCTCAAACTAGCTACTCAGGAGTCTGAGATCTGAGGATTCTGATTTAAAGCCAGCCTGGGTAGGAAAGTTTGTGAGACTTTTATCTCCAATTAACCACAAAAATCCAGAAGTGGAGCTGTGGCTCAAGTGATGAGTACTAGTCTTGAGCAAAAGCTTAGGGTCAGTGCCTAGGCCCTGAGTTCAAGCCCTAGGACTGGCCAAAGACCAACCTTCCCAAACAAAGCCAAAGTCTTTGAAATCTAGAAATCAAGAATGACTTAAATTATAAAGACATCAAATACTTCAAATTGCTAGGTGGACTGGGCACAGGTTTCTCACTCCTGTAATCCTAGTTATTAGGAAGCTGAGATCTGAAGATCTTGGTTCAAAGTCAAGCCAGGCAGACAAAACCAGAGGACTCACCTCCAGTTAGCAAGTCAAAAAAGCAGAACTGGAGACATGGCTCAAGTAGGTAGAATGTCATATGTGAACAAGAGCTGAGCAAGAAGACAAGACCCTGAGTTGAAACCCTAATATAAGCATACCTACAAAATTGCTAGATGGTTCTCTGAACAACAAACGGATACAAAACACTTCGATATTCCCAAGTCTCATCATCAAGAATCACTTCCTGCAAGGTGTCAGTGGCTCAGTCTTGTAGTCCTAACTGCTCAGGAGGCTGAACTCTAAGGATCCCATTTCAAAGTCAGCCCAGGCAGAAAAATCCATGAGACTCTAATGAACCAGCAAAAAGCTGTAAATGGAGCATGATTCCAATGGTTAAATGCCAGCTGTAAGTGAAAAAGCCCAGCAAGTGTGAGCCTTAAGACCTATTACTGGCAAAAACACCACACAAACAACCCCCCGCCAAACAATACCAAAAAACAACCCAGGAGATTATGAAGGAAGGTTCATATACAATTTCCTGGACACCAACCACAGTAAAACGCTGCCAGACCCACATGTCCATGTTGGCAAATTTCACTTTTCTCCACAGGCTGACATAGAACCACATTCCTCCCAATCTTGGTCTCATGTGTAGCTAGTATTACAGATGCGAACCACCAGTGCCCAGAGGTTTTTGTTTCCCTTGAACTGCTAGTTCGTTTCTTATTTTGACTTAGAATCTAAGCATTACTTAAGCTATATCCCATACATTAAAAATGCAGTATCTTCTATTTTTGTTAGTTTTAAAATGTTTTGAAATTTCCAGATGCCAAGCTTGGTACAATGGCATATGCCTATAAGCGCAGCTATTGCGGAGGCTGAAGTTTTGGGAGATTATGAGTTGCAAACTAGTCCAGGCAACTTAACACCTCACCTCCCCCACACCTTCAAAACAACCCTTATGCCAGATTTGAGTGGTTAGTTTCTAATCTCGTAACTACAATTATATTTCATTTGAGACTTGCCACAAATACTTCATATATTTGCACATATGTTTAATTAATTGTATTACAGCCTGTTTAGCTTTGTTTTCTGTCCAATTGATATGCCGTGGACCATGGGAAGTGACTGAGCATCAACAACATACATCTGTATTTCAGGTCTTCCTAACTCTTTTTCATGTTAAATGTCAGTTCTCTACTTTTTGGTGTTTATTCATAACTGTTAGATCTATACTGTGAATTATGCCTTTTACCATTGTGAAGTGGCGTTCTTCATAAGTTAGTTCTACCTTATCTGATAGCATGAATCCAATTCCTGCTCTTTTTGGTGTGACTTGTCAACATACTTGCTATTTGCAAGGCAGTGTTGCATCTTACCAACATACTTGCTATTTGCAAGGCAGTGTTGCATCTTACACCCATTATCTCTTCTGATACTTTTTACTTTTATTGCTATATTCATGCAATCTTATTTTCAAACTATCTGCATACTTTTGTTTCCTGGGCATGGTTGTATTGTGCTTTGAGGTTTGATCTGAAAATTATTTTTTGAGATAGATATGCTTTGTGTTAGTTTTGTCTTAATTTGTGGTTTCTCTTTTTTTTTTTTCCTAGTCCTAGAGCTTGAACTCAGGGCTTGGGAACTGTCCTGGGCACTGAGCTTCTTTTACTCAAACATAGTATCCTATCACTTGAACCAGTGTCACTTCTGTTTATGTGGTACTGAGGAAATGAACCCAGGGCTTCATGCATGCTAGGCAAGCACTCTACCACTAAGCTACATTCCCAGCCCTGACTTTTCCTTTTATATTTATCAAGATGTCACTGTATGATTTGTTTTGTATGTGTCTTCTTTTTAAATAGATTTTGGTTACTCTTAAAATGTTTATATTATGCCCATAATCTCCCACTTGGAAAGTATTCTTTTTGTTTTAAACACTAGCAAACTGTTTATTTAATGAAAAACTCTTGCTCCTAAATAAAAATGATTTTTAAGTCTAACAATGGCTTTTAATTTTTTTGAAATTATTTTTTTCCCCAGTGTCCTTACCTGTCAACAGGATAAAATTCATACATTAGGAAAACATGAAATATCTCAAAGCTGTTGCAGTTGGCTCCAGCCATTAGTTTTGAAAATAGAGAAAGGGATAACAACAAGATGTGTTGTACTTACAAAATGATTTGTTGAACAGGAACTCCTTTACACAATTATTTAAAGATAACAATATAATTTTAAGAGCTTAATAGGATCATTAGCTACATTGTTACTTCAAATGATTTGAAAATATTATCTTTAAGTAGTTGTATCATTCCATATGTAATTAAGGGACATTTTCTACTTGTAGAGAACACAGAGCTGGCATTCAAATTTTATTCTATGTGAGCTCAATCTTTATCTGCCTAATTCCTGAACTTTCCCCATGTGTGAATAGGAAAACAAACCCACAACTCATATAGCCTTATTCTCATACGACTTGATTTTAGGCTAATCTTGAAATAATTCCTCCTGTACAAGAATGTGTTGGGCAAAGTAATTTGTGTCCCAAGTATGAATAGTCTCCTGCTTTAGCAAATAATTTTAGCAGATCCTATACCTTAATGAACATGCCTCATAGAAGCACCATTTCAAATTGCTTTAAAAATGTTTCCTAATAACTTTAGACAATTTCAAGGACTCCAAAAAGGACTGTTTTGTTCTACAACTCCAAGTAGCACTCTTGTAAATGGCTCTCCCTGGTGCTGTACAACTAAGTAGCTCTGGACTTAGGATCCTGATGCCACAGTATTTTTAAGCTGTCTTTGCTTTGGTTTCTTAGAGTCCTAATAAACAGTTTGATTATAGCCAGCATATAAAAACACCAGACTTACTAATTCATTCTTCTACCTCAGTGTTATTGGACACAGGCAAAATTCACACTACAGTGGTCAGGACCCATGGCTGAAATACCTGCTTCTTTTATCTTCACATTTTTCCAGGCTGCATTGATCAAGACACATTACATTCATAAACTGCTTTACTTAATGGCAACTCCTTTGTACAATTAAAGATTCCTACCTTATATAGGAGACATAATAGCACAATGTTTGCTTGCAAATGTAAATCACATAGGAAAAGATATTTCAAAATAATGTCCTTAAAAAAATTAGTGTCCTTATTTTATCTCATTTCTTTCTTATGTGTATTCAGTAATATGAGAAAAGTGCACGTAAGCATTGTAAACTATATTGGTTTCCAAACTACAGGTTGTTGAGCATGTGTTAACTCCATCTGTATGTATGCTCTGCTATCAGGGCACACTGGTAACAAAAGTAAAAATGCTTCTCTGAAACTTGGTTGTTATTCCATGAGAACCATTTTTTCCTTAGGTTATCAACAATGAGACAGGGGTCATTACATATGTTTCAAACATTCATTACTGACTATATCACTGTCCCAAATTATACAAATACATCTAAAAATACCTTCCAATTTTTTTTTTGGGGGGGGGAATGCTCAGGATCACACCAAGGAATGCCAAGCAAACATTCCACCACTGAACTATACTTCCAGCCCCTTAAAGTTTAAAGTTTACTGAGGGGTTTTTTTGTTTTGTTTTTTTTTTTGGTCTTTTTAGTCAGTGCCAGGGCCATCTAACTTCTCCAAGGCTCTTGGCTCAAAGCCAGCCTGATCAGAAATGCCCACTACATCCTCAAAATAATCAGCAAAAAGTTGGACTAGAGGAGTGGCTCAAGTGGGAAAGCACTTGTCTGGCAAACACAAAACCCAAAGGTTAAAAGCCAGTAACACAAAAAAATTCTTCCAGGTGTCAGTGTCTCATGCCTGTAACCCCAGCTACTGAGGAGGCTGAGACCTACAGGATCATGGTTCAAATGCAGTCTGAGCAGGAGAGTACACTGGACTCCATCCCTAAAATAACCAGCAAAAAGCTGAGCTAGAGGTATAGTTCTAGTGGAGAGCCAACTGATCAAGGCTAAGGTCCTAAGTTAAAACCTAGTATTCCCCCCCCCGCCACTCCAAATCAACAGAATTTCTGCAGTGATTTATTTCAAGGGGATTTGGAAAGATAGTATAACTGGTTTTTGATTTTTTGAAAAAACTATTGATGTGGTTTCTCAGCAACTTGTTCATCTGGTAAAAAGACAAGAGAAGACTTACAGGTTTGGGTTCTGAAGTAAAACACAGACTAGGAATTCTTTAAGCAAATTACCTGTTTCATTTTCTTCCTATTCAAAATTACCCAAATGAGAATAGCTACTGTAAGCCTTAGGAGGAAGTGTGAATACTTAAATATATATTAAACTATAATATACCTGTACTATGTTAGGTAGTCTCTCATTTCATTTTCACAGCCCTACACAGGACACATTACTCCTATTTTATTCAATTCCAAGTTTCCATGTTTATCAAGAGAACCAAGAACAGTCCCCAAAGACTGTTTTTTGTACCACACTATTGGGAGACTGTACCTAAGGAATTATGTAATACGGATTTCTCTTAAGTCAGATTACAACAAATTACCACAAATGCTTAATTTGCTCTTTTGCCAGGAAGATTAATCTAAAGTATTTTCAATAACCCCTATATCAACATAAAACAAACCGTTTTAGAAAATTAACAAGTCACCTAAGATTTATTTCAAAAACTTATTTATTCTAGTACTTTGGCCCACTTTTCTAATAAGTATTGTCTCACAAAATACATATCCCAAGACAAGGGAATTAAAAGTGCTTTGTAATATATTCATGTTATTGCTCCCTATAATACATCAGAATACATTTACAGAATATGGATTTTTTTAGCTCTGGTACACAATAAAATATCCTTAGAACCAAAACATTCTCATCGATTATTCCTAGAATAGAAATAACTTCCATACACTTTACATAAATTGTGTTACTTATGATGCTAATACAACTGGCCCATAAAGGTTCTTTTTTTGGTACATCACCACCATTATTGTTCAGTATATAGCATCTACTAACACTTATCTAGAAAGCCAAAGGCCACAAATATACCCAAATATCGTAAGCCAGGGTTTGAAAACAGAATACTAAAATAATTAGTCAGAATCTCCTAGGACAAACAAAATTCCACTTCATTACTAACAGATATAATTAAATTCAATCCACTAAGGAACTGAACATGGCTCTCAATAGCTTTCTCAGTATTATTCTCAGGATTTGAGTCACAAAAACCACCTCATTCTAGATTTCAGAACTGTTACTTCCCTATCCATAAAAAATAAAACTTACTTGGTTGCAATCTGCTTTGACTAGTGGTTGGTAGCCAATTTTCAAGAATTGGATCTGACTTAGGGAGTAAAAAAAAACACAACTTCTTGAAAGGTAAAATAGCTTAAAGCATTTAATATCTAAACAAATCAATCTGTTAACAGTAGTCACAAAATATGCTTAATATAGAAACCCACATTTATGTCATTAAGAAAAAGTGTAAATTGAATTTTTACCTCAAAACATAAATTAATCAGCTTAAAGAATCAGCATGAAAATCATGGTGAATTTTAAACTTCAGAATAAAATAACAAGTACTTTACACTGCTTTCTATCTTAAAAATGCTTACAACTTCTCATAAAAATAGTCTGATGCAACTATTTTTCTTTTATTTAACAGACATGTTCAACATTATGGGCAACATTCTTAAAATCAAGTTGTACAGACTTTCAGACATTCAAATACTGTGGTCCCCTTTTCTTTGATGTGGTTTATTCAGCTAGAAAAAAAGCGTAGTAGACAACTTAATACATTTTCACCAAATTGAAAGTATTACAAAAATTTTAAGATTCTACAGAACTATATATCGTACCTAATGTGTCATTAAAAATAGAAGACAGTATTTTCTTCAGCAAACAAAACAACATACTGGTATGCTGTTAATACATACCTTTTAATGTATACTGTCATTCACAAATTATTTACAATTTCTACTTTTGTGAAGACAACTAGAATGTAAATTTTCTGCAAAACTGGAAAAAAGCAATACAAAATTTGTGAAAGCCTGTGTTTTATATTGTACAAAAGTAAGCCAGTTTTTCTCTTCAAATACCAGATACTGTAAGCAGTGACATTTTGGACATATTATACTAATTCTTGAGGATGTTTTAATGCTGGAGGTAAGTTAATAGGTCTTGATTCTTCATCAAGGAGTACTAGATCTTCTATTTCACTGCCTCTGTATTTCCTTTTACATATTTTTACCACCACCTTTTTCTTGAGAAATAACTTCAGTGCTTCTCTTGATGCCACTGCTTTTGCATTTTCTTTGCTTTTTCCACAGCCAGTGCCCAAATACACAGACTTACATCTTAATTCACAAACAATACTTTCTTGCGAGCTCTTATTTTGAGGCAGATCTGCCAGTTCTTTTAATGGGACAAAAAAGACATCCAGTGTTGCTTTCAGGGCCTCAATAGCTGCATTTAGGAGCTCTCCATGGTTCACATTGGGACTAAAGCCACCAACTGCTACTAACTTCCAAGCAACTGTTTTATACAGTCTATTGAAAAAGGGCTGCTTCTGTTTGACATCTTCATTGGTTAACTTGCAACAAGTGAATTTGACTGAACTCTCACTTAACTGTGAAGTACTTTTAGAAGGCAATTGTGAGCTGCTACTCTGAGTACTGCTCTTAGAGGCTAGCTGGGACACACTTGCTAAGGAAGTGCTTTTGGAAATCAGAGATCCACTGGTCTGGGAGCTGCTTTTGGAAGCTAACAGTGATGCAGCTACCTGGGAAGTGCTTTTAGAGGTTAGCAGTGATGGATTTGTTGAGCTGCTCTTGGGAGTTAGTAATGATGTACCTGTTGAGGAACTGTTTTTAGAAACTGATAATGAAACACTTGCCTCTGAACTAGTTTTGGAAGTTAACCCACTTGACACTGTCTCTGAACTAGGTTTAGAAGACAATAACGGCAATTCTACTTCTGAACTTCCAGAGGAACCCAAAAGGGGCACCTCAATCTCTGCGCTGCTCTGAGAGACCGAGAGTGATGAGCCTTCCAAAGCACTTTTTTTAGGTGATCCACTTTGCTGTCTGGAATCAGATGACTGGGTCCCGTGACTATTCACACTGGATTTCAACAACGAAGAAACAAATGATGCTGAACTGTGTTTATCTAGAGCTTCTGGTTCAGCTTTTCCGGAACCAGAAGCTTTTCCAGAACCTGCTGCTGTTACCTGAGAGGAAATGTTGCTCCCACTTTTGCTGGCAACAGAGCGATCTCGATCTCCATCATTCGTAGAGCTCCGCTGACTGGAGGTGGCAGAGCTCCAAGCTGAACTTCCACTACTCTCTGATTTGGCAGATGAACCCGGACTTGAACTGTTTTCCTGCTGAGCTGATGAACGTTCTGTTTTGGCAGAAACTTTTCCATGATCTCGCTCAGCTGCGGAATTACTTTTTCCTTCTATGACTCGTTTTTTGGATGGCTCCTCTACCCCTTCTAAAAAGAAGGAAAAACAGAGATTTTACTAGGAATATCTCAATACAGATCGCTGAAAAGACATTCATTAAAATAAAGGCATAAGGCAAAAAGTATTTTGGGACTAGTAGTTTGTTTCCTTTAAAAGTAGAATAACTTCATTCGTTTCTTATACCAGTGTTAAACAACATCAATTTCTAATGTTAAATTAACAGCATCAGACAGTAACACTTCAAAAATCTACTCAAATGCAGAGCCTAAAACACATACACACACAGTTTAACATTCGAACTTGATTAATAACATTTTACAAACTTTGACTTGTTAAAAAATATTAGTAGTAACAATTCCTAATTACATCAAACTTATTTTCTAAACTCCTAAGTATGTTCACATCTATGATCTGCTAACCATTGCTACTCGATATCCCTCTTTTCTTCACCTTGGCAACCAGTTCGTCTCTTGTTGTATGGATTGGAGCATCTGTCACTTTGATGCCTTCAGCCATACTAAGAATTTTATCCATAACTTTTTGAGGATACCTGAAAAAGAAACAAAAAATCGCTTTGATAAAATGTGTGGGTCCCCCTGCCCCGCGTAAACTCTTTCTTGTAATGTGCAAAAACGAAAGCAAAAAAAAAAAAAAACAGAGTAACTGCATTTCCTGGTTTGCCATTAAGCAAGCGTAAGCCAAGCGCCAAGAATGGTTTCCTGGAATCCCACCAACAAATGCCGGTGGGTCAGGGCTTCTCGGCCTTTAAATCCAGCGTCCACGGCAGACGCCTTTTGCAGCTTCACGCCGACTCCGTCTGCAGCCGCTCGGCTAACCCCGCAGACTGCTCGCAGGGTGGCCTTTCCCCCCCGCCTCCCGGAGCGGGCGGTGGGTGCCGCCGATTCCCGCGCTTCACAGCTTCCCCTTGCCCGGGGCCGGGCCGGGCCCGGGAGCGCCGAGGGCTCCCGCTCCGAGGGCTGAGGCCGGGGCGCGACCTCACTCACCGGCACCCGAGGAAGACATGGTTTGCCCAGGCCATGGAAAACGAGATGAGCTGCTGCAGCTGCCGCTGGCGGGTCCCGCCCTCGGCGTCCGCCGCCTCGTCAGCCCCAGGGCCCGCGCCGCCGGCGGGGGCCAGGTCTCCGGCGTTGCGGAGCAGAAACTCGCGGCGGTGGCGCCAGTGTTTGTCCGTCTCGCCCTCGCAGCGCAGGGCCTCCACCCAGGCGGCCGCCCGCGGGTTCTGGCTCAGGTACTCCGACACCTCCTGCGCCATGTTGGGCCTGCAGGACGGGAAGGGAGGGCGCGAGGGAGCGGACGCGGCACCGGCAGGAGCAGGGTGCGCCGAGGCCAACGGCCCTGTCACCACGGCCTACAGCGGCGGCCGTCCGGAGAACGCCCCTCCAGAGGCCCCAACAACAGCGCCCGGAGCAGCCGAACCGCCCACTTCCGCCTGCCGCCGGCGGCTGCGCTTTTATAACCTCGTCGTCGCCGCCGCCGCACGCACGCGCGGACTTCCGGTGCGAGCCGTTCCTCCCAGGATGCTTCGCGGCGCCGAGCCGCGGAAGGGATGCCGGGAGGGGAGGCGGGTGCGCGGCGCTTCCCGCCCCGCGTCCCCCTTGGTCCTCCTCCTTCTCCGCCCCCCCACCCCCGAGGACGGGCGGTCCCAGCTCGCGGCCGGAGCCTGCGGCGGGCGCCGCGGCGGCGTTGTGGCTTGGCTTTGTGAAGCCGTCCGCTGCGGCCGCCCTCGCCCCGCCCGGGCCCGGCGCACCCGGGGTCGCCGCTAGGCCACGCGGCCTGGCCTGGGCCGCTCCGCCCGACGACGCTGCCGGAGTAAACAAAAGCTCGGAACACGGAGTAGCCGCGCGTTCCGCGGCCGTCGGGGCCCCTGTTAGGTGGCCGTGTGCAAAGGTAAAGGGGCGCCGGGGTGCGTCCCCCCCCGCACCGGCGCCGCGGACCGACACGCGAGACAAGACCTGGCTCCTCTCGGCGGCGTGGACACCGCACTGGGCACCGAGAAGGTTCTGCGTCTGCATATCGTATTCCCTTGAATGACACCGTTGGCTTCGGCTGGACTAAAGTCCTGCTCGTCTCTTCCTCCACAAACCTCTTCCTCTTAGGGTTGTTTTTCCCCCTGTTTAGTTTAGTTTTTGTTTTTTGTTTAACCATTTTACAGAACTAACCCTAAAAAAACAGCTTTATAACTGCGAGCTCCTTTTATGTCTAAGGTTTCCAAGTCCAAGCACCCGTCTACGCCAAGATTAAACAGTACACTTAATAGCTTAGTAAGAGAGACATGGTATATGGTGAAATTCTTTCAAAGAAATATACTTTGATTTGAAGATGCATAAGTCAGAACAAAGGGGAAAAAAAAGGGTAACTCGTGATAACAATAAAATTAACTAAGAAGCCCGGCGCTGGTGGCTCACTCAGGTAATCCTACTCAGGAGGCTAAGGTATGAGACTCCTGGTGCCCAGGCAGGAAAAGCTGTGATGTGAGACATCTCCAATTAATCACTTAAAAAAACGAAGTGGAGCTGTAGCTTCAAGCGGTAGAGAACTAAACGAGCAAAAATTTTTTTAAATAGCAGCTCAGGGACAGCGCCCAGACTCTGAATTCAAGTCCTATGACCAGACCATCCCCCTCTCCCAAAAATAAGATTAACCCAGGGGAAAAAAAAAAACACCTAATTTATATCCATGATAGAACAATCAAAGTTTGGCTATCCTCTGAAAACAGTATTGCCCTTTTTCCTGCCCCTGCTCAAACTATAAAGACAAAGCTTTTGTAGCTTGAGATTTTGCTCTTGGTTTTGCTATTTTGACCTTTTATTTTAATAATTGCCTCAAACGAAGAGAGATGAAAGGATTGCAAAAAATTGACTTATTTCAAAGATGCAAAAACTGGTTTTTCCTTTCATAAATTCTTTTTTTTTTGGTTTTTTAAAAAAATTCTATGGTAAAAAATTTTATGGTAAAGGTGATATACAGAGGGATTACAGTTACATAAGTACAGTAATGAGTATATTTCTTGTCCAACAGTGTTACCCCCTCCATCATTTTCTCCCGCTTCCCCCCAACTCTCCTCCCTGCAAAGTTGTAAAGTTCATTTCCAACATAGTGTCTTGTGAGTATCGCTGTTGCATTGTGTCACCCTTTGTCCTTTGTCTTCCTTTCATAAATTCTTTGTGGCAAAGCCTTTCTAATGAAAGAATCATTTAATAGGTATTTATCATTTATCATTAAAATTTTAAACCAATTATTACTTTGTCCTGTAGCCTTCTGATGAATGTCATTTGTCTTGAAGGAAGAACAAATTGAGTGCATATTTCCAAAAGAATTTGTGTGTGTGTGCAAGATGTATCTCCCTGAGTTGCCCAAGCTGACTTTGAATTGGCTATTCATCTGCCTCAATCACTGAAGTAGCCAGTCACAGCACTGTCATAACCTGGCTTAAATTTTAGTTAACAAGTGCTTCAAATTTGAAAGACAGATGCTTAACAGGAAATACACATTTTTCTTTTTGATTCACCAAAACTTGGCTTTGTTTATAGAAATTCCAGGCATAGATCATGGACCACAAAGTTGAGAATGGCATTCATATTTATTGTTGAATGTTCTGGGCTCAGTGATAAAGCACTTTCCTAGCAGGTGAAAGCTCCTGTGTTTGATCCCCAGCACCACCAAATAGTTAAGAAAAAAAAAAATGCTGGACTGGGAAGAGATTTGGAGAGAAAAGACAGAAGAACAAAGGTGATAAGTAGGGGTAAGATGGGGGTGCTGGCTCATACAAGTTGCTATATAGATTTTGTGAGCTACTAAAAGGATTGGGCTCTGCCTGAACTTCTGGAAGAAGGGAGCCTGTGTAGTGGACCCTGAATTAGCATGGATTGGTTCTAGAAGAAATGAGCATAGAGAGGGCCTTTTACAGCTGTGATAACTGACCATGCTGCCCCCTTCCTCTCACCCTTCCCAATGCAAGTGGACACACACACACACACCACCACCACCACCATCACCACCCCCTCAGGACCTAGAGAAAATCTAAAACGTTTTCAGCAAATAGTTGAATGGTGAAGAGCCTTTCAGAAATCATGGTCCCTGGTTGATGAGTCTTGGGGGATGGGGAGAAGTCAGACAGCCACATCAGCCAAGGAGGAGGCAGTTCCTTTCAACCAGATGGTGCCAAGTCATTAAGAAAGAACCCTCAAACTGGCCGAAGTGGTCAGTGACCATGTGTTGCTTATGCTAGGAGACTGGATTGCTCCTGCCATGAAACCAATATAAGGAAGCTTAGCGATATGCTAGAATTGATGCCTAAGTCTCTATCACTGCCCCCAAAGAAAAACCAGAGCTGAAGAGAAAAGGGAACCACTCTTAACCATCACCACCTCTGAACAGAGTTTCCAACAGCAGGTGACTGAATTTTCTTCATTTCAAAAGACTAAATTTTCTACTATAATTGGAAGCATATTTATTTATACTGCCGCTGTATCAAGTATCTGAAGAAATTCAGTAAAAATCTTAGCAGCTGCTGGGCCCAAGTGGCTCACTCCTGTAACAATACTCCTGTGTCAGGTACTCAGGGGGTTGAGATCTGAGGATTATTGGTTGAATCCAGCCTAGGCAGGAAAGTCCATGAGATTCTTACCTCCAGTTAACCACCAAAAAGCCAAAAAATGGGGCTGTGTCTTGTGAGTGCCAAGTTTGTGCTTTTTCTTGTGGATTTTTTTTTTCAGTGTCTCTGCCTGTGTCCTGAGGTTCAGTAAGAAGTCACTAGATCTGTCAGGTTATGTAGCCATACCTTAAATAAACACTGGCCAGGGAAATATCTAATTGTACAAGTCTTGAGTCAAGTTCCTACCCTAGGAATGATAAAATATCTAAGCAGGCTGAGTATGGTAAAGGAAAATAAAATAAGCAAGAATTTACACTCAAGGACATAGAAACAACATTATGAACAGAAGAATAACCAAATTCCAGAAAAGCGTCTAAAGAAAGGATAACAGCAGTTTCAAATAACAAGAGACAATTTACATGAGGTGCTACTGCTAGAAGGACTATTAGATCTCTGCATGTTAGCCAAAGTTGAATTTTTAGTCTCTCTTTTTTGTCAGTCGGTGGGCTTGAACTCTGGGCTTGGGCGCTGTTCTTGCGTTCTTCAGCTCAAGGCGAGCACTATACCGCTTGAGCCATAGTGCCACTTTCGGTTTTCTAGTGGTTTATTGGAGATAAGAGTCTCACAGACTTTCCTGTCCAGGCTGGCTTTGAACCTCGATCCTCCGATCTCAGCTTCCTGAGTAGCTAGGATTACAGGCGTGAGCCACTGGCCCCTAGCTCGGATTTTTAGTCTTACTGGAAACAACTTCTGTTCAGTATTCGTGTTTCTCATAATGCTGATAAAATGAAGTATTATGCTTTATTTTCCCATTCTTTTGAAACTCTATAACAATGTCTTATCCCAGAATATGTGAGGTTTAAATTTGGGCAGATCAAAGAAGAGCTAGCATTTGGAGAATTGCAATTCAATTTCTACAAGATAATGAATTTAGGAAACCTTGACTCTTTAGAGCCCTGGAAAGTCAGCAGTAGAAAAAAGGACCTTAGAGAATTATATCTACTTTGTAAATGAGAAAAACAAGCCACAGAGTAGCTAAATGATTGCTCAAGGTCAAACAGTTAATGGTAGAATAAGAAATGAGTACTACAGTAGTTTTGCTGACTTCTGGCCTAGGACTTTGTCTCCTGTCATGTCATTGCTTGTGGGTGGAGTTTGACTAGTCATCGGTTTTAATGAACTCAGAAGGTATGGGGACTAAAATAGGAATAGAAACTGAGCTAACACCTGAGTCTAGGCACTAGGATTACAACAGGAATAATCAATTGTCAGACCATCTGGAAATTAGGAGCAAGAAGGATCATCAAGTTGTATTTATTTGTTCCCAGAGCTCCAGTACATGAATGTGTGGTTGTCTTGGGAGTTTGAGTAGTCCTGTTAGTAGAAAGGAACGTTCCTGAAGAAACTGAGAATCCAAGTGAAAAGACAGCTTGTGTCTTAGTGGTTAGGGATATCTTTTTTAGGAAGACAGACTCCTGAGTTTGAATTCTATGTCTACTGTTTAGAACTTTGTGGCCGTAGGCCTTTTCTTGGCCTTGGATTCTGGCTTTGTGAATTGCCACTAAAAAGAATTTTAGGACAGACACATCAAGGTAAAAATCAAGAAAGTTTATTTGTAGAGCAAAGCAACAGAAGATAATACACACCTAGACACTGGTGCAAATACAAGAGCACTCGGACATCAGGGCATTTGTGGTAAAATTGTGAGTTGGGAGTTTGTCTTAAATACATATTAGGGTAAGTGCTCACCTTTGATCTGGACACCTGGTACATTCACTCCTTTGCTGTCATGCTGCTTTGGCATTATCAGTTGGGCAGAGAGATATCCAG